GCAGGAAAGCAGGAAAATGTAGATGCTCAGACTAAGAACATACCCTTCCTCGCCCTCTTTTATGCACTTTAAAATATTAGTGAAGTTACAATGAAACCTTCATCTCCAGTTGATTTAAAAAAGAAACTATGTGAGTAATTATGGAAACCAGAATGCAGTCCAGCAGATAAAAGCTCACCCATTGTATTAGCCTGTATATAAAAACATACTGGTTCCTACCTCCTCAACTGGACACACTTAAGAGACATTTTCCTTGTATTTTTGTGATCTTCCGGGAACCATCCCAAGATCTGCAAACCTTATCATGCAGTTACAACCTCGATCAACACCTTCAGACTGAGACTGTTACTTCAGAAGCTTTTTCTGTAGCTTAAGCCACAACTAAAAGACAAGGAAGAGAAGGAATTCCCAGTACCTCTTCATGGGGCTGATCTGCTTGTAGTTTTCAGCAGCTCAGGTTTATTCCTCCTAATCCACTACTTAAACCCAAGAAGATGAAGAAACAGCAGCAAAGAATTGCTGAAAGGACAAGGTCTGTGATGAAAAAAACATGAAATAAGAAATCTCCAGAGAAACAGAGGAAGGTTGCCTGCTGGAAATGGCTTGCCACCCAAAGATCAACTCCTGTCTTACCAGGCTACTGGAGAAATCTGATGGGGGCATAAAACCTAAAGCCTTTACCTAGACACAGGTTGACTTCAAAATTGACATAAAAATGGAAAAACTGTGAGGCCCACACTTCAGATTCCCCCCTGCCCACACCCCCAGAATGATTCAAAATATGGAAGTTTACTCACTGGGGTGAGTTACCTGACACATCCACCACAAAAAACAACTTCTGCTTGATTCTCACTCTTGCCACAATGGGATCGATTGTCACATGGCTATTATTTCTTAGGAAGGTCCCACTGACTTTGCAAGGATTTTGTCACACAGTCAGAGATTACTGTGAGAAGGGTCTAGAGTCTCAACTGATCAGTGGCATTTTTACCTACTTTGCCCAGGGCCAGATCAGCACATGACATGCTGTTGCAAGGGATCTCTGTGCAAGGCATAGACAAGCCATTCACGAGAGCAACAAGCCAGCTGACAGCTTTCAGCAGTTGCAACAAGCAGAAAAAGCCAAAACTCTCTGAAACTTTCACGGGCAGCAACAAGGGTAATATTACACAATGGGGATAAGTTATTTTGAGCAGATCTGTACGTTTTAAGTACATCTGAAAATACTAAAAGGTCTTTTGATAGCGTGTCACCAGGTCTATTTTGCAGGTTGATGGCATTCCCAAAATTACTTTTAATAAGCACTATTTACACTCACTTTTACACAGAGTGCACTTCCTGCATTTGCCTTTGACCAAACCACTGTGAGAAGGTTTCGCTAAAAAGAATTACACCTGTTACTAAGACCTTAAGGAAATCTCACAAAACCCACTTTCAAAACAATGTGCTTGTTAACTTCTCATAAGAAATGCTGCTCGTAGAATATAAGTGTTACCTGGAGTTAGTATTTACCGAGAACATTAACAAATAAATAGTATGTGTGGAAAAAAACCTGAATACTTCAGATAAATTCAGAATGGTTAGACAGCTGCAATTTGATACAATAGTGCATTGATACAGCATATTTTCAGGCCAAATATGGCAATATAGTGCAATTCTAAAAATAAAAGTGAATCCCTTGTGATATCCAGCCCTTTCGCTGTGTTTGTTTCCTTTTAGGGCTCAAGTTTCCCACAGGAAAATTATAGAGACAAGTTTGCCTACAGTGCCCTACATCATGTATGGATAAAGCATAAACAGAAAACGCACGCTGGAAGGTTTTCCTGCTCTTGGCAATTACGTACAAGCCAGACTATTTAGAGCAATCAAGATAAGATGAAAAAACCCCACCCACTCCCAAACGAACATACCTTTACCAGCACAGTTACATAAAAGTCATCCGAGACAAGACGTGAAAACATGTGACGTATCATTTATTTCTTAAATGTATTTATGATCCATTCAGACCTTTCAAATAAAGTGTACAAGTGCATTTCAGAATAAAAAACTACACTCTTCACACAGCTCTGTAGAACACTACATTTCATGAAGCAACTTGAAGAAAAAACTTCCTATTAAACCACCCATGCATCCTTTGGCTACAATAATATCACTGATCAACAAGTACTGCTACTGAATTCTGAGTTTCCCTTTAAAGAGAAGGAGCATCCTAAAATATGCTTCCCCTTCCAGAGGCCTCTCTTTAAAGAGAGAATACTAAATAAATTAGCTAGGCTTTTAGGCAAAACAGTAAGGCTACTTAGTACTGTTGATGCATGATCCATATATTTGGAGAACAGGCAATCCTAGGCTATGTGAAATGCGTCAACAGCCCTTGAAATTTTAGTAGTATCAAGATTACATCAATCCAGAACAAATGGCAGACAAAAATGTAACCAGTGGAACAATCACTGAATAATGTGCAGTTTCTCTTAGGATGGGAAGTGCTGATAACAGATTCAGAAAAGTGTTTATAAAATTCGCTAAGAACCACATTGATATTCTTAAAATTACATATTTTACAAAGCCCTAAACTATGTGACTGTACAATTACTACCGTGTTAAGTTGCTTGTTTTAAAATACACATACATGTATTTTACATGGGTGTGTGTATGTATACATGTATTTTAAAACTAGCAATTTAACATGGCAGTACTTGTACAGTCTCACAGTACACATATATATATTATGTATGTACATCTACATCAAAAAGGAAACAAGCCAAGAGATGTATGACACAGCTGGGGTACAGATCACCTCAAAGGGAATAATACATTTCTTTGAGTTTTAATAGCTCATAACAAAACTACCTCTCAGAAATAATTATGCAAAGAGTTAGAACCAGATATTTACATGCTGCCGATTTACCTAGTTCCATTTAATGTTTAAAAATATGCAAGTACTATTTTAAAATTAGTAACATTTGTCATTTTTGGCTCAACTGTAGTTTTTCTCATCATTAGTCTTAGTTGAAAAATTAGCTACAGAATAGTCTATTAAAATGATGGGGTAGAAGAACCCCTCCTCCCCTGTATTTTAACAGCAATTCTGAGTTGGCACAAAACACGTAATTCTGGAGCC